TATATATATATATATATACCCAAGTATAGGATTGGTGTATACGGAATAAATTCCATTAACCAATAAATACTATTCTTAAAAGAGTGCTCAATACAGAGTAGAGCAAATATAATTATTTATTCGAAAATTCTAACATAAATATGTTATAAAATCACTACAATAATAGCCATTTTGTTTCAACACTTCTGGTGTCATATCAAGTGATGGTGTTGAATGTAGAATAAAGGGTTTTAAAAGGTTCAGATCAATCAAACACCCATCGCTAATGGAAACCATATTACTTAAGCTGGAATGACCAATCAAAATAAAAGTATACGAGAATTCAAAAGACTTTGATAAAATATACTTTATATATATATATATATATATATATATATATATTCATTCAAACGTTTCATTGAATAATATAGATATATTATGTCTATTTATTTTGTCTATATTTTTTTTCTGTTACATCCCGGGCAACGCTGGGCTCAACTGCTAGTATATATATATATATATATATATATATATATATATATATATATATATATATATATATATATATCATAATTTTCTGGTGACAGTCTAACCGATTATGACTGTGTGTTCCTTGAGTGCCAGTTACGTGTTCATCAGGCGGTCGGCATTCGACGTTCAGTGAACTGAGTATTTTATTCCCGCCGCGTCAAAAAAAGTTTTCAATGCCAGAAGAAAAATAACATCACACCAAAGGAGCATAAAATGCAACCAGCAAAAGTGCTCAAAAATACCGATCAAATATTATTGAAAACAAAAAGAAAACAAACGTTCACAAAAGCAACCCACTTCAAAAGACACGCAAGAAAGAAGAGCTCTCAATGACGTAACAGCAGAGCAAATTATACAAATCATAATTTCCTGCTGCAGGTCTGACTCACTACCACCGTCAGTTTCTTGAGTGGCATGTTACGCATTCCTCGGGCTGTCGGTGTTAGACGTTCACTGAACTGGGCATCCTAATGCAGCCACGGATAACCCAAGATGTCATAATAAGCGTAGTTGGTAAATATATAAATAATATACTCACCAAACAAAATCATCGAAGTGGCAATAACCAAATGGACGAGAATAGAATAGATGTAATGTCTCTGAAATTAGTGAAAAAAAAAACACCAGAATACATATATATATATATATATATATATATATATATATATATATATATATATATATATATATGAGGCGGGGTTACAAAAGATTGTTTTGAAGCGTTTAAAATGGGCATTCTAAAATAGTACATATTCATATAAATATTATGTGAATATACACTTTTCATATGTCCATTTCATAATCAGTATATATATATATATGTGTGTGTGTGTGTGTGTGTGCGTGTAAAAGATAGAACGTGACTTTTTAGTTGCAATTAACAAGCTTGTCACTAAAATTATGTGTTGTATTGACTTTAATCCTGTATCCAAAGTGTATGTCTGTATGTTAGATAGATAGATAGATAGATAGATAGATAGATAGATAGATAGATAGATATGACGAGGCTAAGATAGATAGATAGATAGATAGATAGATAGATAGATAGATAGATAACCGACATGACCAATCTGGCTTCTTGTAGTTTTTAATTATTCTGTATTCGTTATTGACTTATCTGTCAATATCGTTTGTTTCCCAATCCTCAAGATTGTAGAAGTAATACGTATCGAGGCCATGCTCCACAAGACACGCTGGCGTAGGTCATGTCACGTGTCAGGAATGGAAGATTATCGTCTTCCAGAGGTTTTACAGTTCGGTGAACTGTCCAAGGGTTGGCAAGACAGAAGACGTAAACTGATTCACTTCCTGTACCATCGACTACCACCAGTAGACAACACGGCGACGCGGAGTATTCATGTTCTTAATTACATATGAATCGACTTATCTAATGGAAAACTATAAAATGTTACATTTTGTCGCGATAGCCACAAGGTTTTCAGCCTAAGAGTGGTCAGTCATTGAGTGTTTGTTACGATGTTCGAAATGTGAGTGACTTTATGAGAAATTGAAAGTGTCATTAAAAAGACATTAGTAGTCTCTGACACACACATACTTCTTTTATGTGATGTGTCTCTTTAGGATGTAGGCGATCATGGCCCTCCACATCTTCCTACCCATTGTAGCTCTTAATAAGTTTTGTCTTTTTCTTATTTCTCCCGAACCCTGTTCTGCCATCCATTTGCTCAAGTCCATTAAGTATGTCACACGTTGCTTTCCTCTATGTTTCTTTTTTCACCATTTTCTCCCAAACCCTTGCCATTGCCCACATCTTCCTGTCCCTGGTAGTTTTATTTTTTGTTATTTCTTCCAAACACTGTTCTACCATCTATTTACTCAAGCTATCAAGTATGTTACGCACTGCTTTCTTTTCTCCCCCTTTTCCTTACCCTGTCTTGTGAGTATTACATTTTCCAAGCTCTCCTTCCTCATTATGTTCTCCAGAAATTTGAAGTACTTCTTCCTAATATTAAGAATAAGTTTTATTTTTGTTTCCATTTTCTCCAAAACCCTCGCTATTGTTCACATGTTCAGTCCTTGGTATCCTCAGCATCTTTCTGTAGAACCACATTTCTGTTGCTTCAAGTCTCTTCTTCATCTAAAATGTGACCATAACATTCAGTCCTGTTGTTTTGTCATATCATGTTGTTCTCGTTAGGGAGTTGAAATGGTCAACATATATACCATCTTTATTTACACACATATTTACCTAATAACAGAAATGCTAGGAACAAAGCATCTTCTTTTATGTGCTGTGTCCTTTCAGGACGTAGGCGATCATGGCCCTCCACATCTTCTTGTCCCTGCTCGCTTTTAATAAGTTTTGTCTTTTTGTTATCTCTCCCAAATCCCACTTTCCCTCAATCTGTCCTGTGGGTATCAGATGTTCCAAGTCCTTTAAGGCCCCCAAAATTTCAACTGCCTCTTCCTGATGTTAATTATTAGTTTCTTTTTTTTTCCTTTCTCTCAGAAACCACTTTGTTGCTCATATGTCCGTTCCATGGTATCCTCAGCATCTTTCCGTAGAACTATATTTCTGTTGCTTTATTTTCTTCATCTTCGAGGAGATTGTCCAGCATTCGCTGCCATAGAGAAGGACAAATATATCACGTAGCAGTTCAGTCCTTTTTTCTTTGTTTCTAGCGAGGTTTCTCTGCGACGTTTTCAAAATTAAGGAAGAATCCACTGTGATGTATGAAATAGACGGGAATCTATCTAGATTATCTATCTATCTATCTCCTCATGAACATTATCTATCTATCTATCTATCTATCTATCTATCTCCGTATGAACATTATCTATCTATCTATCTATCTATATCCGTATGAACATTATCTATCTATCGATCTCCTTATGAACATTATCCATCTATCTATCTCAGGCTATTCATATCTATCTATCCATCTCCTTATGAACATTATCTATCTATCTATCTCCGTATGAACATTATCTATCTATCTATCTATCTCCGTGTGAACATTATCTGTCTATCTATCTATCTATCTATCTCGTATGAACATTATCTATCTATCTATCGTGTGAACATTATCTGTCTATCTATATATCATTATCTCGTGTCATTATCTGTCTATCTATCTATCTATCTATCTCCGTATGAACATTATCTATCTATCTATCTATCTCCGTGTGAACATTATCTGTTCATCTATCTATCTATCTATCTCCGTATGAACATTATCTTATCTATCTATCTCCGTGTGAACATTATCTGTTCATCTATCTATCTATTATGTCCGTGTGAACATTATCTGTCATCTATCTATCTATATCTATCCGTATGAACATTATCTATCTATCTATCTATCTCCGTGTGAACATTATCTGTCTATCTAATCATTATGAACATTATCTGTCTATCTATCTATCTATCTATCTCCGTATGAACATTATCTATCTATCTATCTATGAACTATCTATCTATCTATCTCCGTGTGAACATTATCTGTCTATCTATCTATCTATCTATCTCCGTATGAACATTATCTATCTATCTATCTATCTCCGTCATTATCTGTCTATCTATCTATCTATCTATCTCCGTGTGAACATTATCTGTCTATCTATCTATCATTCATATCTATCTATCTCCGTATGAACATTATCTATCTATCTATCTATCTCCGTGTGAACATTATCTGTTATCTATCTATCTATCTATCTCCGTATGAACATTATCTATCTATCTATCTATCTATCTCCGACATTGAACATTATCTATCTATCTATCTCCGTGTGAACATTATCTGTCTATCTATCTATCTATCTATCTCCGTATGAACATTATCTATCTATCTATCTATCTCCGTGTGAACATTATCTGTCTATCTATCTATCTATCTATCTCCGTGTGAACATTATCTGTCTATCTATCTATCTATCTATCTCCGTATGAACATTATCTATCTATCTATCTATCTCCGTGTGAACATTATCTGTCTATCTATCTATCTATCTATCTATCTATCTCCGTGTGAACATTATCTGTCTATCTATCTATCTATCTATCTCCGTATGAACATTATCTATCTGTCTAGCTAGCTAGCTATCTTAGCATTTTGCAACGTTCTTAATGAGTATGATGGATTTGATAGTAAAACTCTCTGGAGAATAGAAATAATGGTGATAATATGTCATCAGGCCATACTGTGAGTGCCCAGCGCTGGGGGACAGATGCCCGGGGCTGCACCATCTAATTGCACTAGAGAGAGGGACAAATATTTAGAATTAGGGAGATAGCTGAAATTTCTTGGACACAAAGAAGGAGGGCTTGGAGAATCTGACACTCACAAGACATATCGAGAGCAAAAGGAACAGAGAAATGCAGCGGACGATTAATTTGAGGATCATCATGTTTTCGGGCTGAAAGAAACATGTCTGTTGACGTGTTAAAGAAACGTGTCTGTTGACATGATAAAGAAAGGCGTCTGTTGCCGTGATAAAGAAACGTGTCTGTTGGCGTGATAAAGAAACTAGTCTGTTGATATGATAAAGAAAGGTGTCTGTTGACGTGATAAAAAAAACGTGTCTGTTGGCATGATAAAGAAAGGCGTCTGTTGGCGTGATAAAGAAATGTGTCTGTTGGCGTGATAAAGAAACGTGTTTGTTGATGTGATAAAGAAACGTGTCTGTTGGTATGATAAAGAAACGTGTCTGTTGCCGTGATAGAGAAAGGTGTCTGCTGGCGTGATAAAGAAAGGCGTCTGTTGGCGAGATAAAAAAAAAACGTGTCTGTTGATGTGATAAAGAAAAGTGTCTGTTGACGTGATAAAGAAACGTGTCTGTTGGCGTGATAAAGAAACGTGTCTGTTGCCGTGATAAAGAAAGGTGTCTGTTGGCGTGATAAAGAAACCAGTCTGTTGATGCGATAAAGAAAGGTGTCTGTCGACGTGATAAAGAAACGTGTCTGTTGGCATGATAAAGAAAGGCGTCTGTTGGCGTGATAAAGAAACGTGTCTGTTGACATGATAAAGAAAGGCGTCTGTTGCCGAGATAAAGAAACATGTCTGTTGACGTGATAAACAAAGGTATTTGTTGGCGTGATAAAGAAAGGTGTCTGCTGGCGTGATAAAGAAAGGCATCTGTTGGCGTGATAAAGAAACGTGTCGGTTGGCGTGATAAAGAAACGTGTCTGTTGACGTGATAAAAAAATGTGTTTGTTGCCATGATAAAGAAAGGTGTCTGCTGGCGTGATAAAGAAAGGCGTCTGTTGGCGTGATAAAGAAACGTGTCTGTTGGCGTGATAAAGAAACGTGTCTGTTGATGTTATAAAGAAACGTGTCTGTTGGCATGATGAAGAAACGTGTCTGTTGCCGTGATAAAGAAAGGTGTCTGTAGGCGTGATAAAGAAACCTGTCTGTTGATGCGATAAAGAAAGGTGTCTGTTGACGTGATAAAGAAACGTGTCTGTTGGCATGATAAAGAAAGGCGTCTGTTGGCGTGATAAAGAAACGTGTCTGTTGACATGATACAGAAAGGCGTCTGTTTCCGTGATAAAGAAACGTGTCTATTGGCATAATAAAGAAACGTGTCTGTTGCCGTGATAAAGAAAGGCGTCTGTTGGCGTGATAAAGAAACGTGTCTGTTGGCGTGATAAAGAAACGTGTCTGTTGATGTGATAAAGAAACCTGTTTGTTGCCATGATAAAGAAAGGTGTCTGTTGGCGTGATAAAGAAACGTGTCTGTTGACGTGATAAAGAAACGTGTCTGTTGACATGATAAAGAAAGGCGTCTGTTGGCGTGATAAAGAAACGTGTCTGTTGGCGTGATAAATAATGCCTGTGTGTGGAAAAAAGAATGTCTTTTCAAGTGATGCAACGAATTTTGAGTAGGTGTTAGAATCTATCTTGGTGTAGATAAGAAGTGCGTTGAATTGACTAGAAAGTTGAAGAAAAGGTTATTTTGATGGAAAGAAGGAGGTGTCGGCTGGAGTGATAAATAATCTTGCTATTGACAGAAAGGCGTTGTCGGGAGTATAAAGAAAGTTGCCTTGGAAAAATTAATAACAAAATGTCGGTTGTTCTGATCTTTTTGCGGCAGAGAGAAATTTTTGCCGTGAATAAGAAAAAGCGTTGGCGTACAGAAAGTTTTGACTGTGTGAAAAGCAAAGGAAAATATAATGAATATTTAGATATAAACCCTTGTGCAAATTAATTATACAGGAAGATGTGGAGGGCCATAATCACCTGAACCCTTACACAAATTACTTGAACAAAACGAATAATTCCGTTATGCTATTTACATTATTCGGACTATTGTCCTCTTCTTTTCGCCATATTTATTACAACGTTTCGGCCGTTGTACCCTCAGGCCTTCTTCAGGTGGTTGGAATGTCGAACTGAACCCTTTATTTTGCTCACTAGGGTAGACTGTGCTAGTTCCACGTGACATGTCAGTTATCAGTTATCAGAACGAAATGAAGGGTTCCTCAAGGACACATGGCACAGTGGATAAAGGCGTTAGTTAGATCCAGTGACAGGACCCAAAGAGTGTGAGTTCAATACCTGGTTAAGGCAGTGGAGAACTTTCAGAGGGAAATTAACAGGAGAAAACTGATAACTGACATCCATTAGACATGGCACGTGGACACTCTGATTCTGAAAGCTTATTATCAGAATCTGTGGTAGTGTGCTCTACTTTTGTGGCGGGGGTGGGGGCTATTCTGATGTCGATCTCTGAATCGTCACTATCGGGGTGTTCTTCCCCAGGAGAATCCAATGGCATTGTGTCGTCGTTACTATTGAGATGGACAGATATTTCTTCAGGGTAGAGTTTTTACTCCCTCTGGTTTGATAACTCGCCGGCAGAGGCCAAATCTCTGAAGGGAACGTTCGATTGTCTCCCATCAGGGTGCTAGATGCGCGCATAGTGTGGGATCGCCTCGAGCAGTTCCTCTTTACTCACAGGAGAACCATACTTGATTTTTCGAAAATGGTTTCTAAATAAAACACTTCTTGCATGTGAGAGCCATGAAGGGAGGGAGATCCCGACCGAACTTGGAAATTTTAAAAACCTTTCGTCAGGTCTTGCGTTAGTTTTTTGTGCACAATAATATTCTTATAGCGTACACAGCCCGGTTATTACACCTTCCCAATAGCTAATTGGAAGGTTTGGGCTTTCAAGTGCTAACTGTACGGTCTTCGATATTACGCCATTGTATCTATCCCCTTGAAGGTTCTATGGGGTAGTTCGGCTTGCGGACATTTCCTGATCCAATAGGACTATTCTTAGTTGATCGGACATAAAAGAGGTCCCGCGTTCTGTATGAATATAAGCTGGCGTTCCGAATATTGAGAACAGTGAGCAAAGACAGCGTATGACTGTTGTTGCGCTTACATCTGGACAGGGAAAGGCAAAAGGGAATCGCGAGTACTCGTCAACAGTAGTTATTTGTTTCGGGATTTAGATGGAAGAGACCCTGAAGTCCACGCTTATCCGCCATCTTCCTATCTTCCCATTTTTTTTTATTTTGTTTAATATTAAACGTAAAAGACTGATATTTGATCAGTGATTAATTTAAAGCAGTGACCAATTAAGAAATGTCGCCATTTTTAGCGCCTTGACTACGCTATGAGTCTCCTTTTTGACAGCTGAATGTCTGCACTCAGATTTTGACAATGATCTGAAGAAGAACGCTACAAAGGCACCTGGATTGCCTTAACGCGGCAACTATGGCATGATCGGAAGTGTCAGTTTCTACTTCTAGGAGGAATGTCAGAATTCACCAAAATGATGGCTGAGTTAGTAATATCTCTTTTTAACCAATCAAAGGCTTTAACACAGAAGAAGGTAAAGGAAATTTAATAATTTTCGTAAGAGGGTGTATTTTGTTCAGATAAGGAGGGTATCCGTTTTGAATAATAAGCCAACATGGCCATTGTTCGTTGCAAAGCGCCTATGGTAATGGGAATAGGTAGTTTTAACAGTATTTTTAGCCGTTAAGAGTGCGGCTTCATTATTCCTTTACCCACAATATGTCCAAGTAGTTTGATGGTTGTTGACCCATAAGAACTCTTGTCATGGTTTTGCGTAAGATTATATTTCCCTGACAGCCGCCGAAAACCGGTTTAAGTTGTGACTGCGGTCGGCCCAGTCATGGCCGCACACTATCTCATTATCTATGAAGACAAAGGTGCCTTGTAGTTCTTCTTCAAGAATTATTTTATCGAGTGCCCTCTGAAAACTAGAAACACCGTTAGTAACCCCAAACGGAATCCGTCGGAAGTGATAAAATCGTCCGCAGGCTTCAAAAGCCGTATCAGGCTTATCTTTACAGTATATAGCTACATGATGGCAAGCACTCCTTGGGTCTGATGTGCTAAATATTCTGTATTTGGCAATTTCGGTTATCATCTCGTCAATGCAGGGTATAGGGTATGCACCCAGGAGGGTGTACTTATTTATAGTTTGGGAGTAGCCTATGACCATCCCTTTTTTATTATTATCAGAGGACGTTATTAATACTTGTACTCTCCATGGTGACCTGCTTTCTTTGGCTCTTATTTCTTTTAATATTCTTGTTATTTCTACTTGAATAAATGTTTTGTCTTGGAGAGAATATTTTAGAGACTTAGTGGCCACTGGTTTACAATTTTTTGCTTAAGTTTTTAAAAAGAGAGGGTTATTGTACATATATAACTGCCAAGCCATAGATGTTCAAAGCCTGTTTAGGGCTCCCAAAAGGGAGATTAATATTAGAATGCTGTTTGGAGAAATCATGGCCCAGTAGAACATCGCAGCAAATATTTTGCATTACAAAAAATTAGTGTAGTTAGTTGGATTCAACTCTAGGCCGGCCAAAATGTACCTTCTAATCTTCGAAGATCGTGAAGCATTCAACTGACTATTACAATATACGATTTAAAATCTCTTCTTTTTTTTTTTTTTTTTTTCAATATCGGCGCTAATAGAACTTTCTGAACTTCCTGTGTGCATTCATTTCTACCCCGTTTATTTTTACCGTTAATATTTAATATAGCCTTTGAAAGACATTTAGAGTTTGCAGTTGATGCGATGCTAATGACAATAGGAGCATTTGAACCAGGTGAAAAATCTTAATCTCCAAACCTTAAAGAAATGACCCTTCTTCCCGCACTTGTGGCATTTAGTTTCCCTGGCTGGGCAACACGACCTTCGGAGAGAGAAAATTTTGAACTGGAGGGGTGAGTTCGTGGTGCAGAGTTGAGGATGTCTGTCGTAGAGGATTGTCTTTTTTCCTGGTTTGGTCGCTTAAACTGGTGGAATAGTACAAGTGAGAGTACTTAGTGCAGCCTCTGCAACACTTCTTTGTAGGTATGAACAAGACTGATTTTCTGCCTTCTCGAAATAGATGCGACAGTATCAAAATGTAGTTATTTATATTCCAACATTCATATTTCTGTTCTAATACATTTGTAAAGGAGTCTTTGATAAATTCGTCCTTTGCCTAATCTGCTGTCGTCGCTTGAATGTTGCAGTCTTGACATAAGATTTTTAAGCGCTGAAGATCCTGTTCTAACCTCCCCTAAGGGGATTGCCTAGTAGTTGCTAATAAATGCCAGGCAAAGATTATGTTTCGTCTCTTCACAAAAATTCCATTCAAAATATCCATGGCACTCTGATAAGTTTTGCAATGCAAAATATTGGTACATACGGATGTGGAAACGATGTGCATTAGCAGGTTAAGACTATCCGTATTAGTTATAGGGATGGATGTACTGTTTTCCAGTGCAAACAAGAATCCTTCAAGTAATCGTTTCCAATATTGCCAGCCGTCAGTAGAAGAAGGGGCTGGAAGAGTCCAAGCTTGTCGATGATTACGTTCAATAAATTGTAATCAAAACTAGAAATATAGTTGGGCTTAATGTGCCTTTATTGAACGTAACTGAAGAGTTTTGCTGTTTTGGTTAAGAATACGTGACTTATTTATACAAATCATAAGACAGGGGAGATAATCGGGTTGCTTTACTACATTCAACCGGGCTTTGTCTTCTCCTAGTCGACATAAGATTTTTAAGCGGTGAAGATACTGTTCTAACCTCTCCTAAGGGGATTGCCGGGTAGTTGCTAATAAATAGGGGTGGATGAACTGTTTTCCACTACAAGTAAGAATCCTTCGAATAATCGTTTCCAATATTTCCAGGCGCCAGTAAAACACGGGTCTGCAGAATCCAAGTCAAGACGTTCTGGTTTAAGGTATTTGTCCATAATTATGTGCAATAAATTGTAATGAAAACTGAGTCTAGTTGGGCTTAATGTGCCTTTATTGAACGTAACTGAAGAGTCTTGCCACTTTGGCTAAGACAGCGTGTCTTATTGATGCAAATCAAAAAGCAGGGGAGGTAATCGGGTTGTCTTACCACAGACAGTAAATGTGAAAATAATATAGGTTCTTTTCGACGAAATCACAAAAGACATGAAAAATGTCTAATCTTTTGAGCTGGTCCCACACAGACTTACATTGTCGCAACAAAGTCATCACTTGCCAAATTTCCTAGAAAGGAAACGACAACTTACGTTTACAGGATTACTTTTCTTCCAGTCTTTAATTAAAAACAAATCGATAATCAATCGTCAGCGATGCTGTAAAACTGGCCGATGCCCAAACAGAAACGCGCCTTTTGGATACTGGCAAAGAATTAAATTCCTTGTCAGATTTGGCATTGTGAAGAAAGAAAATCTTGTCAACAAGAAACGGTGATTCAGATGCTAGTAGCAGACAACCAATGAAGATAATCGGGAAATTTAATTGAATCGTCCCAGAGGAATCAAGGGAGATAAGTGTGAAGACGAAACAAACAGGATATGAAACAAAACTTGACAATAGTTACCATATTTGACGGCATACAAAATACACGGGTGTATAAGACGCACCCCAATTTCAACAAGGCAAATCAAGAAAAAATTAGTAATTAGTAATAGTTATTACTAAATGGTACAGCCTAGGCTATACTTATGAGGTATTATTTTTGTTAAACAAGGCATGATTACAATTAAACGAAAAATAATAGGAAAAAAAGAATACGAGCTATAAAAACTTTATTATATCCAAAGGTAAGAAAACAAAATAAAAATCAAGCAATTATTACAATTGAGCAAAACAGTACAGTTATCATTAAAATTCTATTTATCTTCAAATCCATAAAATTCGTCGTCTTCGTTATCCAAACTCTGATATTCATTTTCAATACTACTATTATCGTCGTTAAATAATGCGTCATTTTCCGTTCCATTGAAAGCATCGCTAATGCCACACGTTTCAAAAGACTTCACAACAATTCTGATCTAATATTATCCCAAGCTTGTTTCACCCATTCGCAGACTTGTGCAATGCTGGGTCTTTTTATTCTTCCTGTATGTGTAAGGTCGTGATCAGGCATTGCCATCCACGTGTTTACCTCATACTTCATATTTAAGTGTAAGTAAATCGAAGTTTCCAGGTAGCTAATTTCGTGAATGCTAAACCTACATATTTACATATAAGACGCAGGGAAATTTTTTAAAATATTTTTAGTAAAAAAGTTGCGCCCTATATGCCGTCAAATACGGTACATTTTGACAATTTTTTGTCAATATTCGAGAAACTAAATTAAAAAACTAATTATTTACTTATTTTCCATGATATATAAAATGACTGTAGAAGCCAAAAAAGATCGTTGTAATGTAATAAAAATAACTAAAAACAAGAAAGGAAGCGTATCCCAAAAGTGGCAAAATATTAAACTTTACTGGAAGTAGTATGTATCAATAATATATTTATTTGAACATTTTGCTCCACTATATATATATATATATATATATATAATTTAATTAATTTAATCAAAATTAAAAAACAGACAACTTTAAGGGTCCATTGATTACATTTTATTTCCCCAAGAAAGTGTTTTTTTCTGGTTATTCAGATAACATTTCCAAGCTTAAAAAACTTTTTAATTAAATTAATATTCGCTCTCTAGATTACATCCTCCTTGGAATTATCCATACGGATTGCCAAACTTTTTTTCTATTATATATATATATATATATATATATATATATATATATATATATATCCTGGTCCGATGAGAACGAGAAGAGTAGTCTTCCAACGTTCATAACATTTAATTTAAAAGAGGGTTCAATACATAGTAGAACAATATTGTCCTTCGCCAATAATAATTATAGAAATAACACATCACTTTCTAAATATTTAATGGAGTTTAAAAATTGGTAATAAAACTAGTAAGGTGTAATGGAAGGCGTGACGATTGTGTCTAGCATGAAACAGCCTGTCGCCTGTAAGTGTTGATTTCAATGTTCACTTTTATATGTACACAGTCTTTATCTCTAATATTGAGCACTTTATCCCATAAATATAGCACATCTTAAGACTATATTTATATTATATATATATATATATATATATATATATATATATATATTCTGATACAATTATTGATGAATTATAGAATTAAAATAAATAAAAAAAACGAACGAATTTACCTGACTACTCAGTGTGTGTGTATGCGCGTCTGTGTGTGTGTGTCTGCGTGTGTGTGTCTGTGTGTGTGTCTGTGTGTTTTCGACATATGAAGGTTCAACATTAGGTTCTATCCTTGAAGTTGTCCTCATAGTTTTCCTATCGATGATTTTCCGTGCAGGCTTTGAACAATCAGAATTTTTCACAGTTCAAAACGGAAATATTGGCGTTTAGTTTTTAAACTCATAAATTCATTATTGATATATAATTCATGCATTTAAATGTTTATAGTTTTTTGAAAAAAATATTACCAGCAATACAATTTTGAAGGAAATAATTTACCAAAAACAGATTTTTGACAAAACAACATATTACCAGAAATAAAAAAAAATGTGTCGAAATTAAATAACCCATTGAGGTTGATATACCGTAAAACAAAATAAACCAAACCAATTTAAAACAAAGAATACATATTATATTCATACGAATCTATCCTAAAAATGTTGTCGGCATTAAATAACCCATTGAGGTTGATATACCGTAAAACAAAATAAACCAAACCAATTTAAAACAAAGAATACATATTCTATTCATATGAATCTATCCTAAAAACGTTGTCGGCATTAAATAACCCATTGAGGTTGATATACCGTAAAACAAATAAAAACAAATTTAAACAAAGAATACAAACAATTTAAAAACAAAGAACCCATTATAAAAACAAAATACCAATTTAAAACTATTCATACGAATCTATCCTAAAAACGTTGTTGGCATAAAACAAAATAACCCCATTGAGGTTGATATATACGTAAAAACAAAATAAACCAAACCAATTTAAAACAAAGAATACATATTCTATTCATACGAATCTATCCTAAAAATGTTGTCGGCATTAAATAACCCATTGAGGTTGATATACCGTAAAACAAAATAAACCAAACCAATTTAAAACAAAGAATACATATTCTATTCATACGAATCTATCCTAAAAATGTTGACGGCATTAAATAACCCATTGAGGTGTTGACATGCCGTAAAACAAAAATAACCAAACGAAACCATATATCAAAGATGGTACTGAAAAGCCCTCAACTACACTAGTTTGTGCAGTTGGTTTGATTTTGAGAATTCAACTGGCCATATGATTTCTCAGCAACCCCTAGAATATCTGCAACTTATGATGTAACCTAATCTTCTGGTGGAAGTTATTTTTGTTGTTTTTCTATTGATTATTTTCCGTTCTTCTTTCTTTGTTTTTTTCTTTATCTTTTCTTTCGTCATTGGTGTTGTTTCCGTTTGATTTTCGTTTTTATTTTAAAATTCTTCCAAAGATTATCTCTGCTTTTTTTCCCCTTTTGTTTTCGGCGAGTGAATAAACAAATGATTTAACAGAGCAACATCTTGGAAAATGAATCGGAGAGCTTATCGAATATAGAAGCAATGTGAAAAATATCGATCTCTAAAATGATCGATCAGGAAGCACTTTTAAAAAAATTAAATTCGTTTTCAATAAAATTCGGTACGATTATTATTATTATTATTAATATTATTATTATTATTATTATTATTATTAATATTATTATTATTATTATTATTATTATTATTAATATTATTATTATTATTATTATTATTACTTAATATTGTCCTTTGATTTCGTGCTTTCTTTGTCTTTGTTATCTGATTGTTCAAAGTTTTGTGTTTTTTTTAGATTTAAAAGTAGAGTCAAGTTTGATTTCAAACAAATCAAAACGATGTATTAAGGACAAAGTGGAATTTTCCCGCAAAATTTTAATTAATTTGAAAATATTACTGTTGTTTACTTACATGATTATCAACGTCGAATCTCAAAGATTCACTAAAAAAGACAGATAGATAGATAGATAGATAGATAGATAGATAGATAGATAGATAGATAGATAGATAGATAGATAGATAGATATGACCAAACAAAGATAGATAGATAGATAGATAGATAGATATGACCAAACAAAGATAGATAGATAGATAGATAGATAGATAGATAGATAGATAGATATGACCTGACTAAGATAGATAGATAGATAGATAGATAGATAGATAGATAGATAGATAGATAGATAGATATGACTAAGCTAAGGAAGATATGACTAGACTAAGATATGACCAGACTAACATAGATAAATAGTTAGATTAACAATGATAGATAGATAGATAGATAAATAGATAGATAGATAGATAGATAGATAGATAGAGATGACTAAGCTAAGAAAGATATGACTAGACTAATATATGACCAAACATAGATAAATAGATAGATAAACAATGATAGATAGCTAGATAGATAGATAGATAGATAGATATGAAGAGACTAAGAAAGATATGAATAAACAGATGAACATAGATACATACTGGTAGACTAGAGAGACAGATATAAGAAGGCAAACACAGATGAAAATACCTAGTAAGTGAAGATGATTGCTATTGGAAAAATACATTCGGTTTACGAACATTTCGCATTACGAACAGCCTTCAGGAACGAATTAAATTCGTGAACCGAGGTTCCACTATATAGATATATATGTGTGTGTGTGTGTATGTGTGTTTGTTTGCTTGTTTGCTTGTTTGTTTTTTTCCAAGATAAATACAACAGATTTCACCGTTTATTACGAAGTCTTTTATTCGCGTAAATTCAGCATTTTCTTTAATCCCCAAAAGCTACTTAGCCGCCTTTTCTGTGCCACATTCAGGCAGCATCATATAACATTCTTGTTTTCATTTTTTTTATTTTAAACTTGTTGAATCTGATGATCAGACAAATTTTGCTGCAGTAAAACCTCGTCTAGAGATGGAAATTACTCAGAATTGGCAAAAAATTTCCAATCCCAACAAAATGATCTTTAGCTGCCTGGCGTTGACAGCACAGAGAAATGCTCAAGAAAAATCTGAAAACTTGCTTACCATACGTTTTTCAAAAAGGACAATCGCTCGCTACAATAATTTCCTCTAGATTCTACATCCAAATCCAGAGCCTACTCACTTTTCATGGAGGAGCTCTGATTGACCATATCTTCGGGCGTGTAGCCTTACTCACTACTCTTAAACAAATATGGGTTGGTTTGAGAGTATTTAACCCATAGCTGTGTCTGGTGGGGGAGTCGGTTTAGTTTTTTAGTCAGTTAAATCGTTTCGAATTCAGCTTTGTCTTTTACCTTGACCGGTTACCACCCAAGGCTATATGCACCTGTATGCCCTGCTATTTAACCAACTGAGGAGATAGATTCATGCCTTTCTCGGAGTATTTGCACGCAAGTGAATGTAGAAAACTCGAGTGGAATTCGATTCTCCGAGTCCTCAATCGAGCCGCTATCCACTACTTCATATAAAGGGTGCAATGGGTAAACTGTCGCCATTTTATAACTTTCATTTCACGCATGCGCGTTGTTTGTTTTTAGTTTTGTCGACTGCGCAGTGTCAGCTGGGAACCGTCTGTAAGAAAAAGAGCAGCAAATTCACCCCACCAGAAATTTGGAAATGGCATGCTGTACTGCTTGGCATTCGCACCGTAAGCTCTAATACAATCATTTCAGAGAGTTTGGGTGTCAATCTGAGAAAAATGCAGAGGATTCGGAAAGAGTTGAATGATACAGCCAGTCAACATCATGGTGTTTTCAGTGATCGCTAGTGATAGGGACTTTATGCCTCCATTCATCTTCCCAGAAGGCCTCAGATTCAACACGGAGGTTGAGAAGAAGAGGTAGGCTGCCCTGGTCAAAATGGGTGGCTGCTGGAAGACCCTATCTCTGGAAACCGGACTCTGCACCATGCCACGCAAGCAGCAATACCCAGTCATAGCTTTTATACAATTTCTGAGACCACATCACCACCTTACATCTGGCCTCCTCACTCTCCAGACTGCAACCAACTCGATTATTATGTGTAGGGTGCAATTGAGCTAGAAACAACCAAAACTCCTTGTAACAACAAAAAAGAGTTGCAGGAGATTCCGATTCTGAAATAATCACTAACTCGAATGTGCTATAGGCCGTGCTTGAAGCTAAGGGTGATTTTATTAAATGAATTTCCTCTTTAGCATTTCATATAATTTCATCTTCATAATTGACCATAGTTTTTCGATCGGATTCCGATCGGGACTAGTGGGGGCCATTCCATTATCTTGTTTCCTGTAAACCTTTTATGCTAGAAAGAATCACAGGTAAACTTAGATACATGAAAATAACAATTAACGTGCAAACTGTGAGGTTGGGACTGTGTACCATTCAAAGTATGTCTTGTCCATGAAATCGCAATGGTTAGCACTGTTCAGTTTAAATCTTTTATCGACATTAAATATTTCAATCATGGTTTGGTCGACAATTCCAACCCGTATCATCACACTGTCGCCTCCTTGGTGCATTTTAGCCACACACGCACGTCTGCATCAGATAAAATCCATCTTTTGGCCCATTGATAAGGTCCATTGTGTGTCACCGGAGAAAATTGTCCGTGAAAATTACTTGAGAAAACTTAATTTTCATGTATTACTTGACCCAATTTTGACGTTTTAAATATTTGCTTGACTGATGAAATTTGACTAGATTTTTCAGTAATCAAATTTGAAAAGTACTCTACACCTTTTGTCCCTCTTGACTCCCTCAATTCCAGTCAGTTCAAGGATTTGAGCCCTGTTCAAAAGTGATTGTTTTCGTTATAACTCGCTTTTATTTAAGTTCCATTCGAGGAGACAAGATCTTAAAGCCTTTTCCTTTACTGCTAGTTCTCAAATTAGTTATATTTTCAGCAATTCTCTTTATCGTTCGATAATCTGTGAAGCATCTTTTGATATATTGAGAGATATCACTCAATAACTTTGCCATTTTCTGTTTTTCAACATTTCGTCCACCGCAAGGAAAGTTGGCTCCCTGTGCCGCGCCAGGAAATTTTTCTCACTGGAATCGATCCTTCAAATCTACAAATCAACCATTCGCCCTTGCATGGATTATTGCTGGCATATATGGTCTGGAGCCCCTTCTGTTTGTCTCAAGGTTCTTGATAAAATCCAGAGATAGATATGCAATGTAATTGGCCCTGATCTGACATCTCGTCGGCAGTCGCTCTCTCACAGACATGCCGCCGCCTCCCTCTGTCTTTTTTACAAGTACTTTCATGGTAATTGCTCCGATGAGCTGCTTTCACTGGTTCCCAGACTTCATGAATTTAGGCGTTCTACTAGGCTGGCATCTTGCTCACACCCTTTCACTGTCGAAACTGTTAAATGTAGCCGTCTCTTCTACTCCAATATCTTCATGTCTCGCACTTCTCGCCTGTGGAACTCCCTCCCCTTTTCCTGTTTCCCTGATAGATATAATCTCCAACTATTCAAATGTAATGTCAATCGACATCTCCAGATGCCCTGATCTATCCCCTATCCTTCTCTTCATCCTTTCCTCTATCACTCCACTTTGCTCTAGCTCCAACTCCCTGTAACCCCTTGCGTGCTAGTGACTTCCCGCCTTACTTGGGGTAAAACGCTTAAAAAAAATTAATTAGATCCTTTCATTACCCAGTCTTCAACAAATATTATGGAAAAAAATAAAAAAATATTTTTTATTAGATTTCAGAAGACTTAAACTAATATTAGTATAATTTGCCTAATAATATCAGACTGAAGGTTTACAATAAATCCAAAAACTTTAATAAAACATGTTGAAGCTACTTAAAAATAAAACTCGATCTTTGTTTCGACGTTTCAATGAACTGTTTCAAATTTGACTGAAATATTTCGAAGGTTAAGATGATCTGCATTAGAACGTCAAAACGGGATATATATATATATATATATATATATATATATATATATATATATATATATATATATATATAATTATTTTTTAAAAATATGATTCCTTCGCTACATAAGAGTTCTCATGTTTCAAAAACGAGAGCTGAAAACCTCAATATAATTATTAAAATTAAATTGAATTAAAAAAAAATGTAATTATAATTAAAGGTTTACTTTTGTATGGAGCACTGTTTTTTAAAAATAAAAACAAAAATACTAAAGAACTCTGGATTATTTACCTAACGTGTTCTTTCCTATTTTTCTGCATATCTGCACGCACACACACACACACACACACACACATATATATATATATATATATAGGTTTGGCTTCACAAAATGAAGATCAGGAGGGAGTCTGTATACGTCGCTTGCAGGCATGTTTGTGACTGATACGTTCAATGCGGGACCGGCATACACGGTCCCAGGTACTGCCTGACTCTGGGTAGTAGCACCTGTTAGGGGGTCAAAGCTATAAGCAAATATTGAACTCCCCCACCACCAAAAAAATATTAATATAAGTATAAAAGTACATATTTCTAGTAAAATTACCAGTAATACATTTTCCTCCTCTGATCACGATATACATATATATATATATATATATATATATATATATATATATATATATATATATATATATATATATATAGTCTACAATGAATAAATTGAATTGTTGTCTAATTTACGCAAAAATGAAAATAACAGACATCTCATTTTAACAGATATATTTACTAAAATGATACAAAAATATCTTGAAATACTAAAGAGTAAATTTATAGAATAAAATCGCCATTGGCTTCAATTATGGCTTCCAGACGACTTCGGAATCTCCTGCAACTCTTATATATATAACGTTAGGCCGCACGCACACTCATGTAATGTTATGGGTGTTAGTGCGATAGTGTAATCGGCGATCCGAGTTCAAGTTCTGCTTCATTCACTTCACACGAATGTACCCGGGAAAAACATCCTCTAGGTACAGATTAAACAGCAGAGCAGACTTGGCCCCCTCTTGTCTGGTTTGGCCAGCCAATCGAAGAAAATGAAAACTCTGAATTCAATTAATGTCTTTCCAGGGAGAGCCACTTTAAAATACCTGTACTATCCTTAGACTCTGAGATTATTCCGATGAGGTTAAACTCCGCGACTATAAAGCATTTGTAGACATCGTGGCACCAATGTGGACCATTTCTTTCTCTTCAGTTCTACACAAGATTTTACTGGCTATAATTAAATCACATGTATGAGGTGGTTCTGAACTATTTGACCTTCCTCCGTCAAAATCGACCACAGAGCCGATTATAGATTAGGTGAGGAAACTCGCTTTTAATTTGGCTCAAACAATGACCTTTGGCACCTACATGAATTAAGATCCTATTTCGGTCATATACTCCTAAAATGTATCAGACTTATATTGTTTCTAAATCAATCTAAAGTCCGATATTCACTCAGAATGCGAGGGATCTCATTAAAGATTTTAACAAACTTGTTAGGCCAAACAAAAATTGTTTCAGTTCTAGTTCGAAGCGAGCAAAATTCACATTCACATTCACACGCAGAAAAAAAGAAACATATTGGATTTTAAAATTAAATACACATAAATTAGGGTTGAATAGGGACTTAGGTGTTTTAAATCTTTATAAATATTTCAATAGCTAAGCAATTTCTTTAGATATAGTAAAAAAATATTTTTTAAAATATTTATGACAGTTAGATTTAAGTTAGGAATATCTGAACAGTGACGTTCCATATCACGTGACGTCCGCGTCTCTCGAAGGACGCTACTTGCCAACAAACAGTAATTTTAATTTATTTGTAACAAACAGTTATTTCTGATGAAAAATTGAGGACAATTTGAAATATCAAATATATATATAAATAAATAAATACTTTCATAAAATAAAACATTATA